ACCACCTAATATCTCCTGGAGGGGGCCAGCAGTATGCCCCTGACAGCCACGAGGGGAAACCACACTTTGAGGTGCATTAAACACAGCATGGCTAGCTGGTCAAAAGTGGTGATCCTCCCAATATATTTAGCAAATGGTAAAGCTTCACCTTGAATATTGTACACAGTTCTGAGTTCCACAATATAACAAGGATGTTAAAGTTCTTGAAAGCATCAAGAGGAGGTCACCAAAGCTGTGACAGGGCTGGAGGCACTCCTGTGAGGAGGCTGGGGGCACCTGGGCTGTCCAGTCTGAAGGTGACCTCACTGCTCTTTGCAGCTCCTGAGGAGGGGACACAGAGAGAGGTGCCAGGTTCTGCTGCTGGAAACTGATGGCAGAATGGAATCATCCAAAGTGCACAGAGGAGGGAACAGGCTGAACCCAAAACCATTTCTTTATCACAGGGCAGGTCACATGCTGGGACAGGCTTCCTAGTGAGGTGGTGGATCCTCATGCCCATCAGTGTTCAAAAAACATTTGGGCAACGCTCCCGCTAATACACTTCAACTTTCGATTATCCCTGATGTGATCAGGTGGTTGGATTTGGTGATCTTTGTAGGTTTCTATTCTATTCAATTCTCTCTTATTTTTATGGTCACAATGTTTATATACTCAGCAGTGCAAAATCGCATTCTATCTTTGCCCTGGCTGAACAACACTGCCTGGAATTGAGAGTTTCCAGAACGATAACTGAAGCCTGGAAGCCCAGGGATACATAAGCTACGTTGTGAAGCTCTTCTAGCCTCAGCAGCAAACACAGAGGAATTCATACAAAAGAAAACAAAAAAACTCATCTATTTCTAGAAGTAACTGCATGACATTACCACAAGGAGGCAAACCGGCATTATTTTTCCTGAAGCTTTCTCTTGGTACAAAATGGATCCACAGCATTCCAAATTACTCCATTCACAAAAACAAACAAATAATACATTTAGAAAAATCTCTCCTGTGGAATTCATGTTGGGGTCATCCACATATTCTGATGCTCCAACAAGTAAAAAGGTTATGTGAACACTCAAAGTCATGACAGAGTCCATCTTAGAAAAAGGATAAAGAAAAAGAAGCTATCTATGATGCATGTAATATCCTCATAACTAAATACCTCACTCAAAGCTGTGTCTCCCCACTTCTCGGTGAATTCCTTCCCACGCTGAAAATCTAAATCCTTTGCACTCTAGCAAGACTGTCATTGTGCAACAAAATGTGGAAGATGTATTGAGACTGAAAAATAACAATTGAGTACAGCATACTGTAGATCAATTAAATATTTAATCCAGTGGAAAGACCATAATCAGTCCTGATGAATGTACCATGATACATTTTATCACTTAGGAGACAAGGATAATTCACAGCACCAAGCCATGTCCATCTTTATGTTATCTGCAGCAAACCTATGCAACTAAATATATTCAAGTAAAATGATGTGAACTCTACTCTGACCTTCTCAATTCTTGCCACATTCTGACCAAATTCTTGAATATCTCTCAACTTCCTTTCATTATTTTCTTCCTACACCAAGCAATTTGAAACCCAGACAACTCTTCCTGGACAAAAGAGATTCCAGATTTCTATTTTAGTATGTGCATGAGACCTGGAGCATTCAGGTTTTGCTCCCATTTTCAGATGGGAATAATGCCAACGTTGTCATACAGTGACCAAAGGAAACTGGGTTGACCCCTCTTCTCTAATTAGTTCAAATATTCATCTCTGAAGTTCTCTAACCTGTTTCACATCTCTATGGCAATTTGCTTTCACAACAGGTCCAATGGCACAACAAATTCAAACTCAGTTCCCTTCTCCAGCACAGTCTTACAGAAGAAGATGATTCAGCTCATATGTAGTCAAATCTTTTGATGCAGATGTCAAGACTTCTCTTCTATAATCTCTTATAATGGAGATTATATAATGAAATATTTTCCCAAAAGGATTGTGAAGATTAATACATGAAAGAGAGATATGGGGTGTTCAGGTACATGTCAGAGAATTACATGAAACTATGAATCACTGCTTAATTTTTCCTCTTTATCTGTAGAATTCTTACATTAAAAACATTTATATATTGAGAACTCAAAGTCTGTACTCTTAAGTACAAAAATGAGTAATGGTCTTCCAATTTACTTTTACTATATTCGTTACTGATTTAATTGAGGTAATCATCCTCATAAATGAGAATGTCAGACTGCCTTCCATGAAAGTGATAACTGTATCTCTGTGACTGATTAGAGGAAACCTCCGATTTTCCTGCTACAGGTTTTATTTAAAAATTCATGCAACCTTGCTCTGTACCCAGGGTAGCTCTACCAGTGAGAAACAAAGAGCTTTTGTAGAGACAAAAGAAATTAAATCGCTGTCAGCAGACCAGAGTAAGAAGCTCAAGAGATGCTCTGCTTCATTCAACTAAACAGTAACAGTATGCTCATGGAAGAAAATGAAATAGCCTAAATAAACAAGGCCAGAACTCAACAAATTTTCTTTTAAGAAGAGCAGAGGGAAAAGGAAATAACAGGATCCCTGACGTGGACACAAAGAAGTTATGCCAGTACAGACCAAGGAAGCGTAACTGAGGGGACCAATCAATCAAAAAGAACCCTAGTGAGAAACTCTGGCAGTAGAAATGAGTTTGGCTCTCTCTCTCCTTTTGCAAAAAGCAAGCGTGTGGAGAACTGTTCAAACTGGATGAAGATGGCAGCATAAGAGGGATGCAATGGATGTTGACTGAAGCCTGAATGGCATCATGACTTAAGGAAAAGTTCTTGCATAGCTCCTGGAAGAGCCAGGTACTTAGATTTGTTGCCATTCTCTCTGCTACTCTTGGCACATTTTTAATGGAATTGCAATAAATTAGCTGAAATCTCCGCTGCACGTAAGACTCCAGGTGTACTTGTAAGAAATAACAGATTTTCATAGAGAAAAACAGTTAACAGAAACAGTCTGACTGCTTGAATCCTGTCAATATAGTTGAAATCCCATCATTATTTACATCAAATCAACTTACAGTGAGAAAAAAGGTCATCAAAATACCAGGACTAACAACTGAAAAGAGTAGCCCAGAGGTAAATCCATCCATAGGATGTCATTAGCAAGAGATGAAGGTGGCAAGATAATTTACACAGATTTTATTTATAGCCACTACAGAACTGTCTTGGGCCATTCAGATTTCGAACTGGTAAGCGTAGCAAGGGTACAAATTAACAGTCTACACAGAAAAATGGAATGGTAGTTAAAATTAAAAGACAGTATTTTAGTGACAAAATATTTTTGAATACTTTATAAGTAGCTTAAATGAAAAACTTATCCCCATGATACTGAGAATTGAAAGGATTCAAGCAACATAAAAGAGCTGAGACTTTTTAATGAGATACAGGTTCATTGGTCCTTCAGAGAGAACACATTTTATAAGGTTGGTCAAACCATTCATCAGAATCCAAGGAACAAATTATCTGAGTAACTGAGAAGTACTTTTTCTAATATATTATTACAACATTGCTGCATTTAATCTCATTCCAGAGAGCAAAGAAGGCAGAATAGAAGCACATACAGCTTCTAATTAGAAGTCCCAAGCTTCAAATTCCAACCATTGGTGAACTTATGGCTCCAAAAAGAAGTGCTGTGGGCTAAAGGTGAGACAAGGAGATAAGAAAATGAGAAGCAAAGGAGCAAGACTTGACTTAGAAGAGAGGTGTAGAATTAGAAATGAATGGTTAGCTGAGATAAGGCTTTGATCATGATGAGTATAAGTACTAGCAGAAGTAAGTCTGCTTATAATGATAGATAAAATGCAACTTTAAAAGCTTTCTCATAGGGTATCTTCATTGGACAGAAGAGATAGGCCTTAGGAAAAAAAAAAAAGTGGGCCTCAGCAAACATTGCTGTTTCCTTGTGTGGTATAATCTCAGTAACATCAGCTTGTAACAAAGAGTAATAGAAGCTGATGATGGCGGCAAATGAGTTCATAGGTGAAAGAATGTTAACTTTTAGAAAAGTTGCTAAAAACATAACAAAACAATTAAGCCAGTTGACAAAGTCCAATGATCTTACCAGTTTTGGAAAACCACATCAAAGTTGTAACTCCTGCAAAACCTGAGCTAATCATGAGGCTTCATACTTCATTAGCCCTCGGCATACAGATTAAAAAAAAAGTGCACTGGTGTCAAATCTTAGTTGCAACAGCGTATCAATCCAAATCTAATCATTAGGGATCAACAGATATTTCTATATGTTGAAATCTTGGCTGTTAACTCCCATGCTAATGTCATTACAAACAGCTGATGCTTGTAGAATGATACATAAGTTCTCCAATATATTATAATATTCAACTACTGGTGTAATAAAAATGTACATTAGAATGTTATGGAAATACTAAAAGTCAAAGAAGAGCAAGTGTTCAGTGCTAATGAAATCAGCCTTTGTATTTTAAGGTCATTATTACAGTATACCACCAGTAAAGCAAAACTTCACTGCAAGATCAAAGAAGATGCAAAGCTATAACTGTAAGATTCAGATCTCCATTTTTGTTGTGCAGTGTTGCAGCACTTCACTGCACCATTTTTAATACCCAAAACAGCTAGAGCTGCAGAAAAGAGAAACTTCAGTCATACTTGAGATTAGCCTTCATCTACTAGTCAGTGGAAATACTTTTTTTTCATAACCCCAATCAAAAACTTATACATTGATCAGACTTTCAGTTTATCCTCTAGTAGTTATTCTATCATTACACACACTACTGGTTCTGCCCTTAATATAACTTACTTATTAAACAGAGACAACAACCTGTTAATGCTGTCAGAACAGAGTACTGTTACATTCTGAGAGAGCCATGGTAGGAAAGACAGGATTTTATCATGACTATTGCTAACAGAACACCAGACAAGAGGGAATGATCTCAAGTTGCACCAGGGGAAGTTCAGGATGGATATTAGGAAAAAATTCTTTTCTGAAAGAGTTGTTGGGCATTGGAATGGGCTGCCCAGGGAAGTGGCAGAGTCATCATACCTGGAGAACGTCAAGATCCACGGAGGTGTGGTACTGAGGGATGTTGTTTAGTGGGCAGTATTGTTGGTAGGTAAACAGTCAGACCAGATAACTTTAGAGGTCTTTTCCAATCTTGGTGATTCTATGGCAACCAGAACCACTACTCAGTTCTGTAACTGGAGGTCTAAACCGGATAACTGAACTCAGGACTAAACACAGTAATGATCTCAAAGTTCAAATAATATTGAGACCAAGGAAGGAAACAGTAGGCCACGGCTCAGTTTTGCGAGACTAAGATGGTTGTTACACAGGCATCAGTTTGCCAAACCACAGCTTTTCCTGTTTGGTTCAGTTTTCAGTATTGCTGATTGATGCAAGGAAACGACTATATGAGCCACAGAAGCCAAGAAAAGTAAAAATGAAGCAGAAGTGAAAACCTAATCAAATGAGTAGCAACTCAGGGACTCAAGGGGCAATTACTTATGTGAAAGGTTATAAGGCCATGTGGAATAAAAGCAGAGAGAATGAAGACAATTGCTTGACAGGACTGGGGATCTACTTATGTCAAGGAACTGCAGCAGCTGACATTTCTCCACCCAGCTAATGACTATATGACCGTGATATTCATTGGCATTGGTGAGCATATGCTGCTTTGCCTAGCAGTATTCTGATCCTGGGCATTTACTGTGTGCATTAGGCTATAAATAAGATAATTGCTGTGGACTCCTAACTTTTGTACAACCCTGCTTGCAAATATCCCTGCACAGCAAATAAAATTCATATATAAGGCTTAGGCTTACTAAGTATAGATATTGCTAGACAATGTAAAATTCTCTAACCTAATGCAAAACCCTTGAGGCTGAGATGTCAACAATGGACCTGCATGTTTCCAATCCACCAACTTTCTTTCCTGTGTTATGCAATATATCTCAGATACAACTAATGGAAAGTCAAGTCCTTCTGTATAGTTCTAAGGATTAAGAAGCAGAAACTTAAATCAAATTTAATTAGAAGCTTTTTTGTCTTTCATTTTTATTTCACAGATCTAAAATAAGTACCAAGTACACTGACTTTATCATAACGCAAGTTTAAACCTGCCAGGAGGGTCAGCCCATGTTGTTACAAAACCAGCAGACCAAAGAAAGCTGTAAAAGATGCTACACTTTTTTTTTTTTTTTTTTTGCTGTAATGCCGCCTACAACTTCAAAGTATTTTGTCTGGCTTTTACCAACAGTGTCGTCTTTACTAGTAAACAGGAAAAAAATATTAATAAACTAATTTGTAGTGTATAAGGCTGGAAAGTGAAAAATTAACAAATCATGCACAGTTCAAAATACAAGACAGGCTCCCTTTATCTTTTCTTTTTTTTTTTTTTTTAATATATATACTAGCTTCATCCTAGCCCTTTTCACTCTCATCCACTCTTGTAAAAAAAAAAAAAAAAATCATAACTCACTGTAAATTCAAGTTTCCCTGAGATCTGGGTATAAAACAAGAAGACTTCCTCTGAGGACTGAGAAGGTAACCTGTCTTCTTTTAGGTACAGCCAGACTCCAGGTTATGATTATTGTATTTCTCTGATTAATAAGAATTTGATCTGCAGAGAGCCAGGGTGACAACTCCTTGTAACTGAGAATCTAAGAAATTCTGTGTAACAGTAAGCTGTGGTAAGAGTCACAACTTAAGAAAACCAACATGCTACACTCATTGTTAACATTTTGTGTCATAATAAATCCTTAATTATAAGGACAGTCCTATGGCCAGCCCTCATTCTGCCAAGGATCCCTAACCAACCTGCCTGTCTTTCACAGCATTGGGTGACAGTGAGGCTGAGCAGAACCATATATATCTCCAAGAACTGCAAGAGGGACATGGCCTTTCTTCCTTCACATCTCTCAAGAGAAGTATGGCTCTAAGATGCTACAACAGAGAATATATTCTGCTCTTCTCTCTGCCATGACCTTCATAGAAGCATCCAAGAGAAAAAGAAAAGGCAGCATTAGAACATCCCTTGAAGTAAAAGTATTAAAGTATTATCTTGTCATGCTGTTCTGGCACAACAGAATGTTTTAAAAGGAATTCAGCCTTTAAGTATGTTTTTTTATGCACAACTTTTTGATTCTTAACTTCTGCAGGAAATGAAGTTGCTTTATTCCTAAGAGGAAAGGAAATGACAGGGGGAGAAAGCTCTCCAAACAGAAAGAAGCACAATTTACATTCTTTAAACAATTACACATAAGTGTAGTTTTACCTCACTAGCTCCAGCCATCACAGCTTCTAACAGAAGGTTTATTTACTTCTTGTTGTTTTTTCAAAGTTGGGAAGGACAGTCAAAAGAAGTGAATTAATATATAAGGATTAGAAAACATCCTGGAGAATCTCTCTTCATTTTCACACACCCACAGCTTGCAGCTTTATTCTTTATTCATAGGGTTAGGAAGCTTACATCATTCCATGGAATGAGTAAATATTGTATGCTGCAATATCAAACTTTTAGCTCATGCGCTACAGCTGACATTTAAAGCTATTAAATGAGCATTTTTATGATCGGTACGTCTACTTTCCTTTGCTCATTCATGTGCATGGCTGATCTATAGTAGCATTTCTGATTCAGCAAACTGGATCTTCATAATGGTGTGTTGAAATACTACATAAGAAATACCAGCAGGCTCCAATGGAAGGAAAGATGCAACGTTCTGAAATTGGTTAACTCTGCTCATCCTGGCAAAACAGGGACAAAAGAAGGAATCTTAGTTTGAAATCACTTTTTTTTTTTTTTAACAAGATATCTCCCTACGTAAACTGCTACTATGATACTGTAGCTAAGATTGCATTCCCTCAACAAATGGGTAGGAAAAATCATGCAGAAACAAAAGATTAATTTTTTTTTTCACATATATTATCATTGTGCTTTTTTTCTAATGGTGCACATAATTCTAGTGCCCATTTCAATAAATGTTGAAAAAATTAAGAAATCCTTACTCAGCTTCATGAGGACCCACAGCCTATTCACATCTATTGTAACCAGCCAGAGTTGCTCAGGCTATTTTATAATTCAAGACAAACAGAAGCAAGACTGGGACTCAGAACTGTGACATTTCAAAGGCCCTAATCAGTCAGTGGGAGTGAAATGAGTAGCTTCTAAAAGAAGATACCCTTTAAATCAGTGTTAATAACAGTCTAATTTGCCAGAACTGCTATTAGTTTCTTTCCTAATTGGTAAGTCACCACACATTCAGTCTGTGATGTCCTATATGATCCTAAGTTATCTGACTGACATATACACACGTAGGACAAAGCTGCAACACATTTACATTAGAACTGGGAACCTAAATTAAATTTCTAGAGAATATATTCAATGGATTAGAAGTTTAAACAGCTAAGAACATATAATGACCACAGAAAGCCCTCCTTTAACTACACCATTCATTGCAAAACTGAAGGAAACACTCAAAAAATCAGTACAGCAAGGGTAAAGCTGTATGTTATGCTTGATATTATGTAGTACTCAGAGATAAAGGCATGTAAAATAATCTATCACACAATAAACTGTAAAATATTTACATTTAAATGCAAAGTTGCTAGTAGCACTGCCGTAGCAAAGCATCTACATTTATTAGATAGACTTTTCAGAGTGCCTAGTACAAATGCCTTTGTGGACAGGTAATTGAATATATATAAACGCCTTGAATACAGGTAATTGAAGCTTTAACCTGCCTGTACGACATTGATATAATGGGTTGTATGCCCATGTAACCAAGGCCCAGTTACATACTGACTGGCATACAGCTGTCATGCACAGTTCTAGTTACAAAAAAATGAAATTATGAGTCACAGTGAAAATTACAGTCACAGATTTCTGAGTGTGGCAAGTCTTGTAGAGTATATAGGCTTATTTGCATAATTAGCTTGTGCTTACACAACGTTCTCCATACTATGCTGGCTTAAAACTGCATGTACCAGCACATCATTATTTATTGGCACAAGAACTGGGCAGCAATTAAACAGGCCCTGTCGCTGTCACACAGAGCAGAGCTCAGCGCTGCCCTCCGCTCCCTGTGAGGAGCTGCCATGAGGCCTCCCCTCAGCTCCTCTGCTCTGGGCTCAGCACACCCAGGCACCTCAGCCGCCCCTCACACACCTTGCCCTCCAGTCCTTTCACTGTCTTCATAGTCCTCCTCTGGATGCTCTCTTAACAGTTTTACGTCCTTGTGGCATTGTGGAACCCAAATGGCATGCAGTGCTGGAGGCGAGGCCGTGCAGAGCGGGACATCCCCTCCCCTCACCTGGTGGCAGTGCTGGGCCTGGTGGATCCCCCTTGGGCAGCCAGGGCACACTGCTGGCTCACATCAACTTGCCACCAGCCAGAACACCAAATGCCTTTCTGTGGGGCTGCTCTCCAACCTCTCATCCCCTGCATCAGTGAACACTGCCACTAATACGTAGAAAAGCTCAAAAATGGGGATAGAAGTAATCTGAGACACCTTAAATGAGAGGCCAACTGCCACTTTTGAATTCACTTTCGCACGATTTGCCTCCACAGAGAGAGGAACACGCTGCTATCCAATCCATAGGTGGTAAGAGGTGGGCATTGTGGCTTGGATCACTTCTGCTAGGGAAAGAATTGAACCTAGACAATTATACTGCCACAGCAACTGTGTGTTGGTGTACTGACACAACCATTACGTTATGAAAAAGTGAAGAAATACCTCTTCTACCTCCCTTTTAGAAAGAAAATAAACATAAACCTTCTCTGAAAAGCACAGTCCAGCCAGTATGTCAAGCTTGTTAAAAGCATGCCTATGGATCAGACTTCTTGGGCAACACAGCAGACAGGAAAAACTAATAAGATCCACCCTCAAATGGATGATAAGAGGAAAATTGCTGAGGCTGAGGCAGATCTCTACATGCACAGAAGTGTAACTCAGCAGTTGAAGAGCGTTAGAATAACAGCAGAACACACCTACTGAGCCAGGTGTAGTCAACACCTTAAGAAAAGATAGGTCAGGTGGCAAGCTGAAATATATTCACCTGTGTCATCAGATTTATTGCAGAGATTGTCTCTCAATTTTTTGTTGATTGCCCCATAATGGATATTTATTCTATTTTGCGACTTCTTTCACGTCAAGCAATAAAGAAGTTGTCTTCCAGTCAATTATTTAAGACTTTATGAAATAACACTGAACAATACCCACAATTTTTTGCAAGACTAGGGAGGAGAAGAGAGGAATCAGTCTTACACAGGAATAATTTAATAATCTTTGTTGGAAGGAGTGTAGGGTTTTTGACTATGTTTTTGTCTCTAAGGTATCTGGACTCTCAAAAGCCTTCATAATTCAGAAAGGCAGCGCCTTGAAACAAGCCTTCTTCTTTAGCAACAGGCTGAGTAACTATGAATTTGAACATACATTCAATGACCAGATTAAGGCAAATGAATTTTGAGAATGCAAATACAGTTGGTAGACAAACTGGACAATAAGGCTTTTAGTTCCTTTTTTTCAAATAAAATTAAACTTTGAATTCCTGTGAGAACAGAGACATCAGACTGCTGTTTAATAGGAAGCACAGCGCATACTCTACGCAACACTGTATTCACACAAGTAGAACTCAATTCTGAACAACTGATGACACATTTCTTTTGCTTTGCAGTTCTTGCTGCCTTCCTTACTGTTAGGGACCTCTGAAGCTTGGTATTTGTTGACTGTGTAACAGGGTGGCCATTTGTGCCACCCTGTGAGGGAAAGGACCCTCTAATACCTGTGGTAAGCTGATGATTTTAGTGTACCTGTGTAAGAAAAAACACTATTAACAGAATCTTAGTATAAAACTCCTACAGAAAGCAGTATTATGCAAACTGTTTCCCTGATTTCCTTCTTTCTTCTGTGCATTCCTGATCATACACGTTGTCTTTCAGGGAACATCACAGTTACTAAGAACTCTAATGCCAACCAAAGTGGCTTGCTAACCTCTCACCAAGGGTTACACTAAACCCTTGAAGTTTGTGAACCATGTTAGAACAAGACAAAGGTAAATCAGTTTCATGTATGTTAATAACCTTTATGAAACAGATAAAGAGATAAATCAATATTCACATAGCGTAGCACAGTGTTAGATCAGTTAAAGAGACAAAAACATCTTAATTTAAATGAGGTTACAAAAAACTGACTCAATAAATTACTACAGTCAAACAAATAGAATGCCGGCTAAATGGAAGAAAGAATCAGATTGATTCATGAGGCAGACATCAGAAAGAACTACTTTGTGTTAGTCTTGTCTTCGGGAAATTTCAGCAGAAATCAAGATCTAATTACCACAGCTTTCATGTCCCACTGGTTAAAAAATAAAAAATAGTAAAAACACATCACTAAAATCCATAATACCTAAACTACCTTCACCAGAACAATAGAGCAGGTAATGAAACACCTGCGTTCATCTTAAGAAAGTACTGTTACTTAAATACTTCTTATAAAAATATTTTCTACTCCTGCACGTAGTTGTGGATAACTGACCTTTGAGTTGGGAGCACAGACTAATTTTAGATTGTAGTAGTTAGAAAAGGTTTTCAAAGTACATTCTAAGTAGTTCTTGAACAACAGTACTTTTTAATCATAACCTTTTTCAATGATACCTATCAGCAGTTATTGGGAAATAACCAGAACAATGTTACTAGGCCTGCACACACACACAAGTTATAAGTAAAGCCAACATTCCTAAAACAGAATAATTAATAAAATAAAAAAAAGCAAGGAAGAAAATTAAGTCCAAAATTCTTCTTAGGATGTTTACCTTATGAACTTGATAACATTTGTTACTTGGAATAGGACTGCTGTTGTCTGAAGTTCATAATGCATGTAATTTAATCATCAGTGGGTTGCAGATGTATCTGGTTGTCCACAGTAATATTTCACTTTAAGGTCTTCCCCATTTTCCTCCCCTGAGTGGTTTGCCCACTGAAAGCCTGGGGCACAGAGTTCTGGGTGTGAGTGGCAGAGGAAAAGAATCACTTTTCTTCCACTTGGTCTTTGCTTTTATGGGCAAATTGTATACTCACTTGGCACTGCAGACTACATTCACAGTTTTAGGACATTTAGGTGAATACAATACAATTGAGGTTGTGCTAGTAAGGCTCAACTGTCTCTTAATGAACTAAATTTGTTATAATTCATGTTAGAAAGTGTTTTAATTAAATCGAGATCAGCCACATTAATCAGAGCTCATATACCCTTCCTAAAGAGACCTACTATGCCTTGTACATGGGTGATCATCATGCTTTACACTGGAAGCAGCTTTGCTGAACCTTAAGTATGGAGGGGCTAGGTCCTTCCCCTCCTTCTTGGAGGGGCCAAACAGCTTACAAAACCTGTAAGAGTTAGTTCTTTGGGATGCTGAAATGGAGGAAAAAAAAATTGAAAAGGCCAGAGAAGACTGCATGGAATTACAGAATTAGATATGATTTAATTATTTTTCAGGATACAGGAATGGAACCACAAATGTATTTAGTTGCCTTGTGGCTCATGTATGTAAATACTCATATGTCTTTGAAATCACTGGAAGGTATTTAAAAGGGAAAATAATACATGTAAAAGTCAATAAAAGTAATAGAACCCTATAAACCCTTGTGATCTGGACCCACCCCCAATGCCTACTTTTTAAGTCTCATTCAAAGTTGGTCTACTGAGTTATAAAAGTAGCCTAACATCAGCAAAGACACATAACACATCAAATCAGAAAGCCAATCAGACAGCACACAATTAAATATATATATATATATATATTATATATAAGTTATACATACTATACAGACTTTTTGAACCGTATTCAAACTAGGTCTTAGAGAAGTAAAAAGGAGCATCCAGTTATCTACTTCCCTACGCATTTCATGAACAGGGCAAGTTATAACACTTCAGTTAACTAGTAAGAGAAAGTGGTGTACACTAGAGACGACAACATACTGCAGATCATCTTGTTCTTTGTATACTTACCAATCCTGGAATATCCCATGAAGATCCTCCCATCCTAATGTGTTTTGACTTCCTGCAGTTTGCTTTATCTAATTCCATTTTCATTAACCCATTAAGCCAGAAATGCTAAGAAGTACCATTTAAACTTTTCCCATAATAAAGGAGCTGAGGTGTTTTAAGCCCCACCTACACAGTAAATTGAACCAGCTGATTCAAGAACTACAACTCCCAAATTTAAAGGCCCAGTTTGTCATGGCTCTGAATACTGAGTTCGAGAGCAGCAAAAAACAGAGATATTGTGGTTCAGAACAATGAAAAAAATACGTCTTTAATCCACTTTCACACCCATCATTCTTACTGCAATTAGCTTCACCCAGCTCCCAAGTTCCTATGTCAGAAGCCACAAACACTCTGTTGATCCGTGCTGCCTCTTTGCAGCAGTTGTCTGGTGAAGAAGTTCCCTTCAAGAGCTGCCAGTATCTATCCATGCAGATAGGCTTCAAGCCAGTGTTCCCCTGACTCTTTCAGTGAGCTGCAAGAACAGAAAGTTAGAACATCATTTATGAGGAGACACTATTCAGCTTCCGTTACAGAAAGAGTGCTTCTACATATCTTAATTGATACTTACTTCAAAATATCTACAAAAGCTCTGAGTAATGTCTTGCTTTTATACTCAATGCCGTGCTTATCACAAAGAGCTTTCACCAAAGGAGCTGCTTTCCAGTAGTTGTGTCGAGGCATTGTGGGAAAAAGGCTGCAGAATTCAATGACATACAGTTATTGAAAGGCTTGGCTTACAAAATGCCCTGTACCCATTGTTCAAATTATTTCCCAGCCATCTCCCAGAATGAGAGCAAAAGATTTTCTGATAAATGTAGTTTCATTTGAGACAACACAAGCTTTTTCACTTTTAAGTGCCCATTATTATCACGTTCCTCCCCGTAGTCATACTCACTGGTGCTCAATTTGGAAGTTCAAGTGTCCAGTGAACCAGTCATTGAACAAAGATTGGTTCACATTACATGTTGCATGGAGCTGGGAGGAAAAAAGACAGTGATTTAGATTTTATTTTTCTGGAAGTCTAGATAATTACACCTTAGCAATCACCTTTGTCTAGGATAAAAGACAACGTTTAGTGTCAGAGATTACTGCCTTCATTGACCTGAAGAATTAAAAAAAAGTCTAGCTTGAAATGGATTCTTGGAATACAGGTTAATTTGGCTAGATTTTGCCTCAGGAAGAATATTTTTTTTCACTGATGTGCACACAGGCCTGATCGATCCTATGGGACAATAGGACCATGCTCTATAATTCAGAACTGCAGGCCCATGGCTTCCAAAAGAAAGAAGAAAGGGGATTCTCACCTGAGTAGATACCCAGTCTTTGTTCTTGTCATAATCAATGTGCATTGGAATGTGGTTCATCTGCGAGACCCAAATAAACCATGTACTCTCTAGGTACCTGACCAGATAAACATAGAAACACATGTAATGTATCCAATTGCATCCAAACTTGCCATTAAAACATACATTTTGACATCTGACACAAAAAAAGGGCTGTGCAGGGAGTAGGGGCTGAGAGCTTTCCAGCAGCGGTTACCAAGAAGACTCAAAAAAGTAATAGTCTTAACATATCTATCTATCTACCCAGCCTCTTGTAAGACTTACCTTATAGAGCACACTTGCAAAATTCAGGATTTTTATTCCATTCCTTTACCTCTTAAATTTTGGAGGAATTGCCTTCTAACTTTCTTTTGAGCCATGAAACCTGTCATTGCAGAGGTCCTTGAGCAGCCTCCCTCCACCCCCAACTTATAATGATTTTCTTGGGTCACTACTTATTTATGAGCAAACTTTAGTTTTGTAAAGTCTGACTAGTATGAGTACTATGAGTTTTTTATTTATTTCCATTGACACTCAATATTGTTTACCAATATTAGTCACGGGGACTTTGAGTATGCTGCGTGTTACCTGGACATCCAATAGTACACCATGAAATTGTTAAATCCCATTAAAGGAATATACATGAGGCAGACTCGGATGTTGTAAAACACCACCAATAACAGTTCCTGTTTAAAAAAAGAAGAGGAAGAAGAAGAAGATAATAATGCCTTAATTGAAGATATCCCTCATTTCCTCTTTTTCATATTATTTCAGCATAATAGATGTTCTTCCTATGATCTCTTACTTATCAAATGTGAGCTCCATACAATCATTCAGCCTCCTATGTGTATCCCTGAAATATTTTCAGAGCACTAACTTTAAAATCATTAACTAAACACTGGGAAAAAAATATGTAATCCCACTCTGTCTAGGTCCAATACTTTTCTGTTAGCTTTTATCTACCTGCTGTGAGGTTAAAAGGCATCTCCTGACAAATTCACTCTGGACTTGTTGAGACAAGCATTCCTACTGCAGCAGCCTAATAAAACCCTTTTTTTATCCCAAACATCATAGTCACCTTGGTTGAAATTTGACATAGCCACCTGGAAGTGTTAGGGGTCGATCTTAGTAGGCAGCTAAGCACTACACAGCTCCTTGCTCACTTCCCCATCCCTGGGAGATGGGAGAAGAGGAAAGGAAGAGTAAAAGCAAGCAATTTTGTGAGTCAAGATATAAACTACTTAATAACTGGACATGGAAGACAGAAAAAAAATACACAATGAAGCAAGAGATGCAAAAGCAATCACTCACCTCCTCCTGCAGGTTGAGGTAGACTGCTGTCCAGCCAGTTCCCAAGCAAAAGATGACTAATCTCCCTAAATCTCTCCTTTCCCCTTTTTATTGCTGAGCATGGCATTTTATGGCACTGAATAGCTCTTTGGTTAGTTTGGGTCATCTGCCTGGTTGTGTCCCCTCCTCTCACACTCTTGCACTAATCACTGACAGAACACAGAGTGAGAAACAGAGGTCTTGATGCTGCACAGAAGCTGTTTAGCCATAACCAAAACATTAGTGTGGTGACAGCACTGGTTTAATCACAAATCTAAAACAGCACTATATAAGCTGCCATGAGGAAAATTAACTCCAACCCTACCATAGACAGTACAAGTGGTTACATTTTTGAAAGATTTCTAGACAGTGCAATTGGTGCTTACCAACCACTTTTTCTTCCTGATTGCAAAGTAGAATATGGACAGCTGGAAGAAGGGTACAAGTGCAAGTGGGGCCAATACTGCAGGAAAGAATGAAAACAGAGAGATGTTTATTACTTTGCTGCAACATAAATCTTTCAGAAATATTCTCCTCTGCAGTGAGAGGAAAACTTTCTGGTTTCCATTTGCAGTAGCTTTCATGTACCCACATAATCTGTTCATTTCATTTCAGGACCCTTCTTCATTTCTTTCCCATTTAATTTTCTTTCCAATCCCTTACACCTGAATAACACTTATGTTGTACCAACCATCACACAGACAGGGGAAGTTCCTCCTCACATGAAGAAATGTCCCTAATTTTAGAGATTTTAGGATCTCCCTAGTGTTATGATTGTCTCTGAAGCTGTGATTTCAATGGGAATATCTTTAAACCTATTACTTTGGGAAGGAGATGAAGTTGGAGTTTTGGGGTGATGTACCTACAGCATTATAGGAAAGCAAAGATACTCACAGCTGAAATACTTATGCTGATAATTGTAAGGCATGAACTTCTTCTTCTTTTTTCCAAGCTGAAAAAAAAAGAAAGAACACTGTAATGACCTAGTTGGAGAACTGAGATCCTTCATAAATACTTATCTAATGAACTCATCAAGAATTACCTAATAAATCTCTTTAATCCAGCCTTTCTTTTGAAAAGTAGGCACTGAAGGTCCAAAGCAGTGAAAAGAAACATCTCATTTGAACCCCCATACCAAGATATCAATATGTGCCAATGCAGAATACAACAGTTTTTAGAGAGAGTTCCAAAACTCATAATAGCATACAAAAATACACAAAAATAACAAAAATACTCAAAAGGCATTTGAATTTTGCAGGGGAAGATTCCAATGATAGCAATGAGATTCAATGTAATCATGTTCAGACATTCACCGCAGCGTGCTTAAATCATCTGTGCTTGGAGAGGAAGAGGTTATTTATGTCAAAACTGAGACAGGAAACAGTGGGTGGTGAATGCAGGATGTGTTTGCCGAGAAAACTGCGCCTAAATTTCTGTATCAGGTGGGATATGGGCTGAAGACATCCAACAAAATAAACCACTGAAATGCTTTTTGCCCATCCACAGTGTGCCTGACTCATTTCTGTTAAAAGTTGGAAGAGATGAGAACTAGTTTCCTGCACTTTCATTTCCATCCAAACCAATCTAGCAGAGGGACAGGCACCTCACTCTAGATACTGCACGCTCAAGTTAATGCTATGAGAGGTCTTTCAGCAAATCACTGACTAGATTCTCTCATGTTGCAGCTAACAGTTTTCTATTAATAAATACTTTGTACAAACTCTCTTCCCAGGAGTCTTCCTGAGACAGCAGAGCTGGAATTTTCCACATGCATTATGAAGATTTCATTGCTTATTACCCTCTAATGGAGAGTGACGTATTATTTAAAGAGAATGCTTATCTAAGCAAGAGGTCATTTCTTCATTCCATGAGTAAACAGAATTGCTGATGAAAGAAAAGGCTGGAGATCTTACCTACCCTAATATCTGAAATCATGGGAAAAAGGGGGAGCTGTGTTCGTGGATTTATTTTTATGAGATTAGAAAAAGAGGAAAAAAAGGAGATTAAGAATTAATTTGTATGCTTGTGTTTTGTGCATAGCAGCTGGTACTGAAGGATTTAGGTGCCAAGTAGGTCCTACAACCAAAAGGACCCAGAGGGAACATCTGACTCAATATCTACAATATCACTAAAATCATCTAACACTAATCAAGTGGACTGACTCATTGTTTGGAAGGCCTTCGAGGTACTTACCCTGCTCTTCTAGCAACACAGAACTTAACTACTGATTTTAAGAGTTTGCTGCCTAAGCATCATGATAACCAGGCCCCAGGTTGGTACTTAAGTAAGATATCTTGAACTTGAACTTTGGTGCGAATGTATCCAGCAAGGATCTGCTATTGGGAGCATGGGAGTCAGAGCAATCTGACTGTGAGACTCTCAGACCATCTAACACTTCGGAAATTATAGAATCATAGAATTGTTTGATTTGGAAAGTACTCGTGAAGGCTATCTAGTCCAATTCCCCTGCAAGGAACAGCGATCCCTATAGCTAAATCAGGGTGCTTGGATCCCTGTCCAGCCTGTCCTCCCTTGGAGGTCTCCAGGGATGGGGCATTCACCACCCCTCTGGGCAAACTGTTCCAGTGCCTCACTACCATTATTGTAATAAAACTTCTTCCTTATATCCAATCTAAATTTCTCCTCTTTTAGTTTGAAACCATTTCCCCATTTTTCAAGTTATTATTACAAGTTTAGGCAGAAAGCCATAATTCAGGTTATTACACCTCAGTTCTGTCTTTTTTGCCAAAGGCCCTCTAGATCCATACCCACCTCTACAGAGAGTGTCTTTCCCAAGCTGAACAGGAGAGGGTGCATGTTGAGATCGGGGTCCTTGCGGAAGCAGTTGGGTTTGGCATGGTGCTGATTGTGCAGATGATTCCACCAGCTGGCAGGTAAACCCTGCAGGAAAAGCCAAATACTGGGGATTCAAATTAGAACTCTATCACTGATCATTATTTGTCAACCTATCATTGACAATTGCACTATATTTTCCTCACAGGTAATGCTGCCTGAATGTAGAGTCACTCCCATTCATTATTTAGTCCAGATTAGGCCCAGAGAATATTCTCACAGTAAGGCAATTACCTTCAGGGTATTTATCACAATGATCTGCAGCAGATGGTTCCATTTAGGCTTCCTAAAGACAGAGCAGTGCCCCAGATCGTGTTGGAACCAGCCCATCTGGATCTAGAAGACAAAAGAATTGCCAGGGATTCAGAATCATAGCAGTGTTGTACGAATTTGCTCTTGGGAGTCTTCTTACCACCATAGATGAGATCATCTCCCTCTGATCTGGGAAAGAAGGACAACGTGCAGTCCTATCTGCTCAGTGCTGAGAACTTCCTTTCAGACCACTGCCTATTAAAGATGCTCAATGCCAGATATTGATTTTGTTTACAGCAAAAAATCATTACAATGAGTTTGACTGTTAGAGCATATGAGTCTCTCGTTCCCATCAAAAATATATATAATTTCCAAGTAACCATCTAGAAAGTGTAATAATTTCAAAATCCAGAGCTTCATTGCACTTCACAGCAGAAAACTGTTCTGAATTAGTGAGCGGGGTTGGCACATGACGGACCAAACATCAGAGCCATCAGACAGTAAACAGAACTTGGAACCAGAAATGGAACTGACGACGAGATATTCCCTCTTCTATCAGGGTGAGTGATTAGATCAGCCCATCCCTTCTTATAAAGTTGCCTACTTAATCTCACAACACCACACCAGTCAGAGTGAACAGGTTGTCAGCAAACCTAGGTTTGCTGGAAGCAATGAAAACTGCTTGTTGTCTTCAACCAGCTTATTAGATCTAAGAGGACATAGTAAGTCAGTGACTGGAAGATGAACATTTCATTGATCCTCTCCACTGGAATGAAACAAACATGTCTACACCATTGAATTGCTGTCAGCAGTTTACCTGAGCAATGGTGAAGAATGCCATGCCAACAATGAAGGGCACTAATGATATCCCAAAGTACCAGACTGTCAGCCAGGATGCAGCATCCAGTACCAGGAGGTGAAGGAAGATCAGGGAGAAAAAGGTGGAATCTGGATTCAGAAGTCCCATCTTCTCAACAGTGCAGCGCAGCTCACGGAAGTCCTCTAAAAGTGATTTCTGTGGGTAAAAGAAGTATTAATGTGCTAGCTACTTTGAAAATGCAATACAGCAGATCCAGGAATCCTTGGAGTGGCCATGGAGACATTCAAGTTCATGTTGGATGGGGCTCTGAGCACCGTAATCTAGCTATATGTGTCCCCGTTCATTGCAGGGAATGTTGGACCAGATGGCCTTTAAGGGCCTCTTCCAACTCAAATGATTCCATGATTCTAAGTCAGTGGAAATACTTCATCAGTGGGGTTTCTTCACAAGAATGAGCACAAGATCAATAGATCTCAGCTTTGCTTTGACACTCAAAACAAGTTGCTGACAGGCTGTGTCAGTGAGACATCACAATGGGAAGAACTGATCAGATACTGGTACTCTGGAGCCCATTACTCACATGTATGGATCTCGGTTTTCTGGGACAGTGCTGTGTGTTTCCATGCATGACTATGGCAGCTACCTCCCCACCCAGCCTAGGGCACAATGTCAATTATACTGTCCCAGAAATTATATCTACCCGTCTTTTGTATTTCTCCTCCTATGCAGAACCCCAAGTCATTTCACAGTTAGTTTCTAGGACACCCACCTTTTTGTTAGACTCAAAGCTGGGTTGATCTGGTGCCAGTTCCCCGATCAGCAGAGACTTCAAGTATTTCTTCACCAGAGCCTTGTCACTGTGAAATGCTACAAAGGCATCCTACAAATCAATACACAGACAAATGCGATAAGAAAGGTATACTGCTAAATACCAGATGCCAAGTCTACTTCTTCCATATCATTGATATAATACATAATCCTGATTCCTTTTCTTTCCCAAAGATCTTCAGAGCTCTGTTCCTTCAGTTGTTCCTCTAGTGCTTTGCCATCAGCTGGAGCTAGGCCCAAGGAAGCTGGAGAAGTTTCAAGAAACTAGATGTCATATAAGTATCTGGGTGAGGCTGGTAATGAGTACTAAAGTGTTTGATGAAAAACTATTTGCAGAGGGAAACATTCTCTTTCATCTGTCTCTTTCAACACCATCCTTCCTTAGAAGGCTTCAGCCAGCAGCCCTGCCCTGTGGATGGGACCCAGGAGTAGGAAAACACATCAGTGAGGTGTCTCTTTGCCGCACTTAGGAAAATACAATGATGTTAAAACCCTGCCCTTATCATGGTAGTGTCAATGGAAATATACATATACAGGGCTATCTAGCTTTTTCTTACAGTTGCCTGTTTTCAGATAATTGACATTTTGGACAACTGAGTAACACAAGTGACACAAACATATTTGTTCAAGAACCATTCATAGTACCAGTTTCAAAAGGAAATGTAAACTATGGGATAAAGGAAACAGAAAGCCCTAGATAAATCACAGCTCTACTTCAGCTTATCTCCTCAGTGGATTTCCCAGAGGGAAGGTGAAGATGCTGACCATACTCCTTTATCTTTCAGAAAGAGTCAATATTACAAAACCCTCAGTGTTTGACCAGTCACATCTATGCAAATTTTCTCTCTGCAATAAACTGAGGTAATCTTTTAGTCATGACACAAAGATTTTTACACACTTCCAGACAGGAAGAGGACTTTCCTTGTGCAGTTTGGCATTCCTCTTGAGTCTGACTTCCGAAAAGGCCCATCTCTGAGCACTTTACTCAAGTCAGAGAAAAGTAATGTTTTGAACAGATGAGATTTCTACAGACATCTCGTGGCCCTTTGTCAGAATCAGAAATTCTGCCCAGATCCAGTGGCCTGGGGAAATCTTTCTGTTATGAGTCTGTGTTGTCTCTGCTCCTACCTTACTTTACCACGTAACAAGAGATTACCTTAAAGGACTATCATCTGCAATGGACCTTACTTCCAAAACTTGACAGTAGAGTAACATTCTGCAAAGAGTATTGTTTATATTTGGAAAGTAATGCATATAGAGAAAAATAATTCTCACCATATCTTTAAAATGAGCTCTAGGTTGGTAAAGAGTGCTTGGAAAAAATCTTGGACTTTGAATTTCTTAAGAAGAGAATTAATTTGAGAAGAGAATAAAGGAGACCCAGAAGGGTTTTTTCCTTCACTTGAGAACACAAACTGAGGAACAGAAAGGACAATCTACTTTCTCGAAGCCAGAAAATCTGTCGTGACAAGAATTAAATTTGGGTCCCCTCACCACATGTTTATGTTGTAATCCTGGTCTTGCTTCTGAGAGTTCAGAAATTCAATATCAACTCTTAATAAATAATCTATGAAATCTGCTTAAAAATTATCATCTCTTTCAACAGTTAACAACTCAGTGAGATCCTCTAAATCAAAGATTTTTGCAAATGTCTCTAGAACATCTACTTTCAGATGGACTATTTGTAGAAAGTTTCCTCATCTTCTGTAGCCAAATGTCATTCTGTTGATTTCTCAGTTGTTTTTCTTGTATTTTATTCTTCTTACCGCTCCTTCGGAATAGAATTTTTGTTTAAGACCTTCTTTTCCATCACTCATTCAAAATAGGGTCCTTCCCTTGGTTACTTCCTTTTCTTGCTCCACTGGCCCCTCTTTATCTCTGAACTTTACCTGCTTCTTATTCATCCCCTTGCTCTATTTTTTATTATCCTTGGCTTCTATCATATCTGGAAGCGCTCAGACATGAAAACAGCAGTATGCACTGAGTGTACCACTTCCCAATCTCTTCCCTTCCACTCTACTGCAACAGAAAGACTTTGCAGATACTTGGAAGACAGCCTGTATGCATGTGCAGCATTTACATTTTAATGTAATGAACCTGAACAGAGCTTTATAATTTACATGGCAGGTAACTCTGATCTTAAGGGTAACCTGAAAGGTACTTTTACAAGCAGCACAGTTACATCCACTACCTTATCGCAGAATCACAGAATGGCTTGGGTTGGAAGGAACCTCAAAGATCACTGAGCTCCAACCCCTGCTGTAAGCTGGTTGCCACCCACCAGATCATGCTGCCCAGAGCCCCATCCAACCCAGCCTTTTCTGACTGAGCATGGTGTCAACCGTTACAAGTGTTCTCCACTGGAGTCCAACCGTGTCCTCCTGTCCTGGCACTGCAACCACATTCCTCCACTCCATCCCTAGATCTTACCGTTGCATCTTGTCCGGCATAGTGGCCAATGACCCGGCTGCCTCCAGGGTGACGTTTGGAAAAATTGCTGACGTCGTAAACATTCCTGTCAATCACCAGCCACTGCTCCTTGCTTGGGCCACGGCCATTGTGGATTCTGATCTCTTCCCAAGTGAAAAGCTGTAGAAAGGTTGAAACAGGTTTCCTTTCCTTTTCTGTGGAGCCAGTCTGTGGAGCCATCTGCACTTCTGGATGTGCATTCAGCACTGAGATTCACTCATCTCAGCCTTGCTGTGCTGTGTTCGGACAGATGAACCATGTCAGCCTACCCGTTATACAGTCTCAGTCCCAACCACACCCTGTGCTTCTAGGGCTGGTTGACTCCCTCCACACAAACACACCCTCGTCTTCCACGTTCACACCAGACTCTTTGACACACCCATGAATAAATGTCCTGTTTCTTCTTGTCCTTTCTGAGTTGCCACTGGAAGGTCTGATTACTCAAGAGACCTGTAGGCTACTTCACTGAATACAAATATACATACACTGAAAGATTTAGAAAGATAACTTAGAATCTGCTATTCAATCAAATCAGATGGCAATATGATGAAAGAACAATATATTAAGTGACCTTCTTCATAGAGCATTAGGAAATGGATAAAGTAAGCTGTTAGCCAGCTTCCATATTTGAATGAACATGGATCTTAGCCGGAAGAGAAATCTGAAGAACTGTTTTTTTCTACAGGTAATATTCTGTGTTAATTTTAGAAAACTGAAGCACTTTTAGCATTCCGTAATGCTTGCGTATGTCATTAATCCTACACTTACCATACAATATATCTCCGTAATGTCAAACAGAATCAAAATAAAAAACTGTAAGGCAGCCTATGCAGTGAGCCAAAAGTTGCCCATAAATATGTTTGCTAGCATATCTCATTCAATTGTAATTCCTGCTAACAAAGCATGGAGCTTATGTCTACACTAACAGAGTGAAAACAGCAGAATGCTCCGAGCTCTGCAATCTCTCCATGATATATCTCAAATTCTTTCCTATTGAGTCACATCATTTTTGTGCCTGACCCAGAAAAAACAAAGTCTACAATGTATGAAACACTGCCATCTTTCAAATCTGGTATTTTTTAATCTGAAATTACCATCTGTGGGTGCTTTTGAGGAATGTAGAAGCAACATGCGGATATGGCATCATCTGCCTCATCAGATTTTCATCCTATCCCTTTATAAGGCAAAATTGAATTAAGTCCTGAATTATGAGCTTTCCCCTTTACACCAAACTTTTTGTTTGCATTTATTAATTTACTGCATTTGAAACCGTAAGTGATAGAATTATAGAATGGTTTGGATTGGAAGAGACCTTAAACATCGAGCTGTTGTTCACAAGCCTTTAATTCCTACCATTGTGTGATCCATCACTCGAACCCATTTCTCTCCAGTTTAGAGACAAGGATGCTGTGCTGGACAGTGCCAAACACTTTGCACAAATCCAGCTAGATGACATCACTTGCTCTTCCCTTATCCACCATTGCTGTAACCCTGCCATAGAAAGCCACCAGACTTTTCAGGTATAAATTGCCTTTAGTGAAGCCATGCTGGCTCTCACCAATCACCTCTCTGTTCTCCATGTGCCATAGCACAGTTTCCAGGATGATCTGCTCTATGATTCCTGATCTGCTGGGCATAAAATTGAGACAGACTGGCCTGTAGTTCCCCACGTCTTACTTTTTTCCATTTTTAAAAATGAGGATTATGCCACAATGTCTTAAATAGGATGGCAACTTGATCCACCAGTTCCCTTAGGATTCATAGACACATCTCATCAGGTCCCATGGACTTGTGCACCTTCAAGTTCCTTACATGGCCTCAACTATGGTCTTCTACACTGGGGGATTCTCCATTCTTTCAGTCCTAGGCTTTCCTTTCTGCAGCTTGGGCAACATGGCTAGAATGAGTCAAAAAAGTCATTAAGATGCTTAATTGAGGCACCCCCGTTAATGTCATAGTTGTCCTAACCTCCCCCATTATTAGTAAGACAGGCTGCTCCACAAAATGGTTCTTCCCACCTTTTCTTTCTCACCTGACTCACAGTTTGGTCTGTACAGGAAGAAATAGTTACAGTCTACAGGTTCAAAGTCAAAAAACTATAAACACGTTTCTGTTTGATAGTATCACTGCTGTGATGAATGTAGCCAAGCTGTGTTCTTGAGCAAGGTACTTTAGCAAGGTGAGGTCCACTTTTGCCTGTGTACTCTCTCTCCCAGACAGACAGCATGCAGGAAGCCCAGACAAGCATTGCTCGAAGGGATGATCTTCTGCATCAGAAGAAAGGCTTCATTTAGTGTATGTAGAATAACTTAACTTTGCAGATTTTCTGCTTAAGAAACTGAAAAGGAGTTTACAGGCTATATGTGCTAAAAGTGATTGTGAAGTTTTTCTTCTTACAGTTACCTTTCTTAGTATACTCTGTGCAATTCTCAGACTGCAAGCAGTGCCAGATGTGAAGTCTTTTTTGTCTCCCTTTATTTTCTGTAACAGTAGCACAAGAACCATTGGACACAGACACACACAGTAGAGACATCTGCCTCAGCCCTGCATGGAGCAGGCAGGCATTCTGGCTGACACAGAGCTGTAAATGTTGCAATTCTAATGCTTCAAGTCACATAGCATCTTGCAAATTAATCACTCAAGCACAAAACATCAATTTAAATATCCCGATGTGTAGCAATGCTTGAACCACCCTACCTGAAAGAGAAATGGGACTATTGATATTCATTAAAAGGCAGTGATAAAAGAATGAGAGAAAAATTATACTGTTCTGCCACATGGCATTTTGTAACTCTTTATCTTCGTCTAAGTAAAAGTGCCTCCACCAACATGTTTTTGTGTTCACATTCCAGAGATGCATGTGGAGTAGTACATCGTAATACAGCCTGATCCACACTTGTAGTGGTAGTAATATATGCAATAATCGTTGCAAATGTGGGTTGTTTGTATGTTTTTTTTAAAGCACTTGCAAAAAAAAAAAAAAAAAAGAAAGAAAAAAAAAGAAAAAAAAAAAAAGTTACTCTATGGCTATCCATAAAACTTGCAAATCTAGCAGCTACCTGAAAAGAAACAGATGAAAATGGAGGTTTTGTTTTGTTTCTGGTCTACGAGGAGATGGAGAACACAGAGCCAAGAAGATATTGGAGTTAACAAACATGGAATGTTTCAAACACATCCTTTCCCCATCTGAAAGCAAAAGCACTTTGTCTGTTTTATCCAGGTCACAAAACACATTCCAGAGCTGCATGGAAAAGCCCAGATAGTGAAAGCCACAGCAGACATGTTTACCCAGAGAAGCTATTGGGAAATCTGTTAAGGTGAATTTGCACCATAGTATTCTGCAATAGCAGCCCACACACCCGCAAAATCTATATGGTACACATCTGGGAGCTCATCCAGATGCACAGAGCTCTGTCTGTGACATCTCCTTGCAGAAGCACTTGACATAGTTGTCCAGATCTCCAGAAATTCACTAAGCGACTGCTGAACTGGTAACTATTAGAACAACTTTTTATCCAGTATATATCCAGTGTATATCCATCTATTTTCATTTAGTTCACTGCAGATAAACTGGCACAGCACAGAGCGGCCCAGATCCAGAAAGAATACAATACTAAGGTACACAGAACTTAAGTACTTTGTTTCCAGGAAAATATAATCCCTGGAATGTCTGAGATGCCCTGAGTGCCCTGACGAGCCCTGCAGCTTCTTTCTCCTCCCCACGGGTTTGGCTGTCTGTGCTCAAGGCCAGCTCTGAATGTGCACAACCTGTGCAGTCCAGCCAACGCACTGCAAAAGCCTAAAGGGATGTGAGAAGCCTTTGCCCTGCATGGGAGCTGCTGTTCTGCTCAGGGAACCAAATGCTGTGAGATCTAGGCTGCTCAAAGTCTGTATGAGCTTAGGAAGAATTTCTGCTTTGAAGGAGTGGGGATGCAGTGGCACAGGCTGCCCAGGGAGCTGGTGGGGTTACTGCCCCTGGAGGTGTTCAAGAAGCTCAGAGATGTAGCACTGAGGGATGTGGTTTAGTGGGGAAATATCAGTGGTAGGTTGGACTAGATGATCTTAGAGGCATTTTCCAAACTTACGATTCTGTGATTCTACAATTCAGTCCATTCTGTAAGTCTGCTATAAGTAAGCTATTATATATTTCTTGATTGTTTTTTCCTTGTGAAAACAATTTTAATATCTTTTTCAAAAGAGAAAAAGCACCCATGAAATCCTACCATTTGGGTGGTAGCAAACTTTGCTTTCACTCTCGGTTGTATTTTATGGGTGAGCAATAATAATTTAAAAAGATGCTGAGAACTCTGCCATGCTCTTACAGTGAGGTGCGAAATGAGGTTCTGTCATAAGCACTGTGAAACTCTCATCTAAAACTCTATGCATTGCATCATTTGTAACTGCACACTCACATTCTTTTTAATGAGGGCCAATAATAAACTATTCAACAATCACCACATATCCCTATGCTGTGCATCTCCTTTAACCTGCAGTTCCTAAGAAAGCCCCCATTGGCATATTCCAGCTTCACAGACACCCCTAAGGTTTAAGGTCCAAATTCAGCAGAACCTAAGATCACCATATATAATGTTACAGAGGAACTAAAACACACAGTGATCCAAGCTAGAATTGTTAAATGCTCACGACAGACCATTTTGTCTTCCCACTGCTATACTTTGGGATTTATTTTTTCATACCACTCAGCATTTTTATAGCCATTTCTGAGTTCAGCACGCTGATTGCAAACACAACTGTGCATCCACACAAGAAATACCCTGCAAAAGGCAATCAAGCTTGAACATTTTTTAATACGTGACTTGTGCAACACCAATTAGGAACCACAGCATAAGCAAGGATTAAAACACCCACAGTAGTTCTACTGCCTACACACAGAACACCATCCTTTTGTCCTTCCTGCAAGTCTTGGGCTCCCTTCCAGCTTTGCAACACAGGAGGCAGGGATCCTGCAATCACTTGCCTCCTGCCCAACATGGAACCAAACCCCACTGGAGTTTCCTTGCAGGCAAATTACCTGTGTTGATCCTTATTGTAGCCCTCTCAGGCAAAGAAAAACACTGCTCACCTGCATCCATGAGCACTTCTTCACACTTCCCTCGCTTTCAGAAGCGGTGTGGCTGAATTCTCAGCTGCAGAGGTATAATCCAGTCTTGAAATACTAT